AAATGGGATATGAAGGGAGTGTGGGTGGTGGAGCAAAGGCAGTGACTGGAGATGATATGAACTGAAGAGACAATTGCCATTCAAGGATCTGCAGGTTACAAAATCTGACTCCCAGTGATTGGCAGTCTATGTGTTCTTGCATGAGAGTCAGTGAGTATTAGGATGTAGTTCCTCTATCTTATTAGGAAATAGGTAAGTATATAGGGGTTTATAAGTGACTTTACAGTCCTGTTGAAATATATCTGTAGGGAATCAAAAAAGTGAAAGAAATGATAGGAAACTAGAGAGCAAACATCTACATGTGTAAAGGAAGAAAGAGGATAGATTTTGAAAAATGTTGTCTACAAGTAATTAATGATCTGATGAATATATAATGCTAACTTTTAAAAAACCTTACTTGTATTTTGAATAAATGCAGAGTAATTTCTAAATACAAGACAAAGATTTGGAGGATAGAAGACTAATAAGATTCCAATTCTATTCATAAGGAGCATCTAGACAAATAGAGATGTCAGATGAGCATAATTTTACAAAGAAGAACGGTTTCACAAGAAAAGTAAAGATACATGCCAAGAGAATTCAGAAGAATAAGTAGTATTACAATCCAGGACGTGATTCTCAAACTCAAATGCCTTCTAGGGCCAACAACAAGTAAGTGAACCAATGGCATGTGCAAATGAAACAGTTACCCCTAAACTTCAGCTGACTTCGCCCTGGCAGTGAAGGGCCCCAAATTTTCAGAAATCTTGTGCTTAACATTTTATTATATATTCAAATTTTAAAAGCTGTAGACTGATTTAAATTTTTTAAACCATTAAAATACAAATAAAATACATCAATAAGTCAGAGTCCATCTTCATGCTACCAGTTTAGGATGTTTACCTTAGAGGATTAAGATATGTTCTGTAAGGGGCGCCTGAGTGGCTCAGTCAGTTTAGTGACTAACTCCTGGTTTCAGCTCAGGTCATGATCTCAGGGTCATGAGATCGAGTCCCACGTCAAGCCCTGTGCTACACTTGGAGCCTGCTTGGAATTCTCTGTCTTCTTTTCCCTCTACCCCTACCCACTTATGTCTCTCTGGAAGGAAGGAAGGAAGGAAGGAAGGAAGGAAGGAAGGAAGGAAGGGAAAGGAAAAAAGGAAAGGGAGGAATGTTCTGTGAAGAATATTATAACTTGGACTTATTGTATGATATGTAGAATTTAGACATGTAGCAATTAGGGAAAAGAACATCCCAGGCAAAAGCAACATCATGACTTAAGTTAGGAAAATACAAATGTAATGCAAATAAAGGAGAAACCATGAAGAACTTATTTTGAAAGCCGTGCCGAATCTGTGACGGGAGGAGCAGGAAATATGATATAATATGAGCATTTAGGAAAGAAGGGGAGGATGACCAGGAGTGTACATAGATTCTTTAAAAGCAAGTCATGCCCAATATCCTCACTGTATTTCGTAAGTGTGAGAGCTTGCTACCATGCCAAAAACATGAACATCGATTTCAGTAGAGTAACCTTGGAGATAAGTTGGTGAAATATCTTCAACCCTGTTTTATTCAACACTTTGTCAATGAGATTGATGATGATTGAGAAAACATTTATTAGATTTGTAGTTGACACAAGGTTGAAAGGGATCACTAATATGACAACAGACTCAAGCCTAAACAATTTTGAGACTGAATGCAAATTTTTGACAAAACTTAAACGTGCTTCTGAGCCAAGAAAGTGAAAGAAATAAGTAAGAGATGCATGAAAAGAACAAAGAAATCCATCTTATTAAAAAATATCAAGATTCGGAAAAGTTAATTAACATCCCTCAGATAATACAGTGCATGACAGAAGTGGAAAGTGCACTCTGGGCTTATCTGGAATCAAACTCTATCTCTTTCCCACCCATCACAGAACCAGTAAGTGTAAAAGTACTATGTACTTCTCTCAGGAGAATGTTAGCTTGAATTTTGTATTGCGTGGGAGAATGTCCTTGAAGATTACCCTTAATTATAAAATCTATTTTTTATTTTCTTATGATAAAACATTAATGAAGTTTGGACTTAACATACTGAGTAAAGTGGATTCAATTTTATATAAGCTGAGATTTCTGTGTCCAAGAATGAAATTTTATTTTTCTTGTTCTTTTCTTCATGTCACAATAATAGCAGAACACATTTGTCTTGCCATTTAAAGATAATTTCATCCTCAGTTATATATCAAACATTTTCTGAGCATATATTAATTGCTAAGAATATTTGGAAGCCACAAAATTTCTTCCCATGAAGCATTCAAGAAAAGTTTAAATATAGTTGTTAAGGTTGTTGATTAGTTGTCTTTGAAACTTTTAGTGACCCATCCGACCCATAACCTTCTGCAAAGGACTTCAAGATGATGTATATGTGAGCACATATGTGTCTACATGTGTGTTACACCACACTCCTTAGAAAGAAAATAATGAGTACTCTGGGGCACCTGTGTGGCTCAGTTGGTTAAGCATCTGTTTTGGGTTCAGGTCATGATCCCAGGTCCTGGGATTGAGCCTCACATTCCGGTCCTTGCTCAGTGGGGAGGCTGCTTCTCCCTCTCTCTCTGACTGCCACTCTCCCTGCTTGTTCTCTCTCTCTCTCTGTCAAATAAATAAATAAAATCTTTTTTAAAAAAGAAAGAAAATAGTGGATACTCACCAACCACCTGCTTTTCCTCCCTCCTTACTCCTATCCTCTCTTTCTTACCTGTACTCTTCAACCCTCCCATTTCCTATACCCTTCAAGTTCACATCTTTCAAAAATGGCAGAGAAGTAATTAAAAGAAAATAATTCTCATTTTTATTACGGTCATGCTTCATTTCTTATAAAACAGCAATATTTTATTTGATTACCAAATTCAATGCAATATATTCATATTCTAATTTTTGACAGAAAACGCATCCTAAATTCTGAGATGCATCAAATTAATACTCCTCCCATCCAAGTACTAACCAGATCCAACCCTGTTTTAGCTTCTGAGATCAGACGAGATTGGGCACGTTAGGGTGGTATGGCCATAGACACAAATTAATATTCCTAAAAATATGTAAATTTCCAAAAAGAAAAGAAATATCCTGAAATAAAAGGAACAATATCTGAACTATGTATATATTTTCTCAAAGTAATTACTAGAAAAGGAAGCCCATTGTTTAGAAGTATAATTTCTGAGTTATTTGTACATGCAACACCTTAATCACTTGTGTTTATTTTTGTATTCTTTTGATTTTTTTTTTGTTTGATTATAGTTGACATACAGTGTTACTTCGTTTCAGGTGTACAGAAGGGTGACTCAGCCTCTCTATACCTTACACTATACTCACCACCAGTGTCTGTCACCATGCAATGCCATTACAATGTCATTGACTGTTCCCTCTGCTGTATCCCTTATTGCTGTGACTTACTCATCCATAACTGGAAGACTGTACCTCCCATGCCCCTTCACCCATTTCATTCAACTCCCCACCCCGCTTCTCATTGATGGCTGCCATCTTTATAGGCCCAGTTCTGCTTTTTGTTTGTTTATTCATTTGTTTTGTTTTTTAGATTCCATAAAGGAGTATTTAAACTGGGCACATTTTGCATGTTCTTCCAACACTTTAAAATGCTATATTTTTCTTCATGGTATTTTAAGTAACTGTGATTTGAAACAGATTTTCTCATTATCACTATAACCATTGCTTGTTTTTGTTGTTGTTCCCACAAAGAAAGCTGTGGACATCCCACTCTTTGATATATTTGGCAAATGAATTGGCCATGCTAGTTAATGGGATTCATCAATGTATATTAACAGTATATATATATATATATATATATATATATATATATATATGATTTTATTTATTTATTTACTTGACAGAGAGAGAGAGAGCACAAGTAGGCAAAGTGGCAGGCAGAGGGAGAGGGAGAAGCAGGCCGTCCACTGAACAGGGAACATGATGCGGGGCTCCAACCCAGGACTCTAGGATCTTGACCTGAGCCAAAGGCAGCTGCCCAACTGACTGAGCCACCCACGCAACCGTGAGCAGTATATTTTCAAGGAGCTAAAACAAAAAGTTGTATTATGACTACTTTTTTACTTTACAGAGAAAGGGAAAATAGTTAATATTCCTTATTTTAAATATTCTTTGATTCAGTCACTTTTAAAAATAATTTTTTAACTTTTTATTTAAATTCCAGTTAGCTAACATACAATGTAATATTAGTTTTAGGTATACAATGTAGTGATTCAGTACTTCCATACAATATCATTGATTAATGAATGGATAAGAATAATTTTTTTACAAATAAAAAATACATTGACTCCTTTCTTCATTTTTGACTTCAGAATTGAAAGTTACGTATGATATACTATATGTTGGCCAACTGAACAAAATAAAGAAAAAATTTTTTTAAAAGAATTGAAAATCACTAGCATTTAACTACAGTAATAATTTTTAAAATTAGCAGGCTGATTCCTCCCCAGAAAATGCTTTTGCTAATGCAGTTCTGATGACAATGTAGAATACCTATTTCTTTGGGGTACACCTTGGATGACGTGGACTTTGAAAATCCAAGTTACACCCTAGATTCCATTCCCCTGTGGTTACTCATCTGGACCACAGACATGCAGGACCTGTCTGAAAGGGACCTAGGCATCAAGCGGGCTCCACCAGTGAATCATCCCCCTTTAATGTAGCAAAACCTTAGAGGGAAGAGTAGGGAGGATATATTGGTTGTTAGGAAAACTTAGACTACAGGTAGAAAATGTCATCCTCAGTTAATAAGATCTAAAGTCCGACTCACATAATTGTTCTAATTTTTAGGAATTATGGAAAGCACGAACCATCTCTTTAAGTTGGTAAGAGGTCCCAATAAATACCTAAATTGTATAGATTTGCATATGGCTTTAGAATGTGATTTATAAAGAAGGTGGAGATCCCAGGTCCCTTGATCATGTCTATATATATCTCCTAGTATGTATTTTAGTATCCTGGGAAGTGTCTTGACACAGAACCTGAACTGGACGAAGGAGCCTTGATCTGAGTGAACTAACTGGCACCATGAAAATATTGAGTGTCTTTCTGCTCCTCTCTCTGGCTCTTTTCAGCATTTTCTCAGGTGAGTTCTTTTTTTCTTTAAAATTATAATCCAGTATTCATACCGAATTGGAAATAAGGGTATTTATCTACCGTATTTTGAAATCCTAACAATTTTGATATTAAAGAACAATTCTGAGGTCACTGTAATGGTGATAATGATTGTGATGATGAGAATGGTGATGGTAATGATAAAAATAATTTTTTGTTGAGCATATACTGTATTCTAGACATGTACTGAGGGCTCTTCTGCATCATCTCCAATACACTCGGCAAGGTCTTCATATTTATACTCTACATATTAAAAAAAACTGTGGCACAAAAAATTTAAGAAAATTGCCAAAGGACTTGCAACCAGAAAGTAGAATTTGGAATTTGAATCCACACTTCTGAACATCATAGATGCTTGTTTCACAGAACAAGGCTGGAGGATGAGTGATTGTTTTAACTAGTAGTTTGGCTTCCAAGACAAAAGAAAGATTTCCTGTCCTCATTATTCTTATACTTGGGATTCAAATAACTGAAACTGAAACCAGGAGGAAAAAGGCAACTCAGCAAATGCTTCAGGAAAGCTATGGAATCTTAAAATGCTGAAACATATATGCTGGTGGTGAATTCTTCAAGCAGGGGAATATCTTTGGCCACTTTAGTGAGCAGAGTCATATATTCTATCAATTCACGTTGTTTAAAAGGATAATTACAGTTTAATCTGATATTTTTCATCACAGCGTCATTTGAATGAACAGGTACACTGTACCTATTTCTTTCCTTTGTTATCTGACTCTTTGCTGTTGCAGTGGACAAAGCCCAGGCTAGAGACTCTAGACCTAGCACCTAGGCCCACCTCTTCCACTAATGACCTGTGTCACCTGGAGAAACAGCGCAGCATTTCAAGATCTCTCATTTGTAGAATGCCAGAAATGAGATTGTGTCCTGGGAACTTCCATGTCAAGATACAGCACTTGTGACCAAAGTAGTTGAATTTTGCAGCTGTCAGAGATTTTAAATGGCTGAACATGTAAAAACAAGAATTTTCCATTGAAACTGAGCAGATGCAGAAGTCATTGTTTGTTGGGGACTAGTCCTTTTTACATAACAAATACAATTGGAAATATCTTTTTTTAAATTGGAGAAAGGTTTTCAGTGATATTGTAGAATAAGTTTGACTGCTAAAATCAAGTAACTTGAATGAGTGGTTCAGTCAGCTGCTGAGGTACCATAAAAAATAGATCTATAACTAACATTAAAATAAAATACCATTAAGGTGCCCCTGGGTGGCCTAGTCAGTTAAGTGTCCAACTCTTGATTTCAGCTCAGGTTATGATCTCACCGCCATGAGATCAAGCTCTACATGCTTAGATTCTCTCTCACCCTCTCCCTCTGTCCTTCCCACCCCCACGCAACCCCACTCATGTACTTGTGTGCACTCTCTCTCTCTCTGTCTCTCAAATAAACAAATAAATAAAATAAAAACATTACATTTTACTTGCAAATATAGTTTTAGAAATTAGCTGATATCCTCTTACTGATTCTCTTTACAAAAGCTAATAGATATTCTAATGAAATCTCCTTGACCAATACCAAATATTAATACAAAACAGGATCCTTCACAGACATATCTGTATTGGGGAAGGCACGGTGCCCAAGAGCCTTAATGTTGAGACAAAGAGAAAAGAATTTAAGTTCTGCCATTTCCATTTTATAACTGTGAGTTAACCTTTTTGCCTTTCATTTTCCATGTCTGTAAAATGGAGGTATAAGGGGTGCCTGAGTGGCTCAGTGGGTTAAAGCCTCTGCCTTCGGCTCAGGTCATGATCCCAGGGTCCTGGGATTGAGCCCCACATCGGGCTCTCTGCTCAGCAGGGAGCCTGCTTCCTCCCTCTCTCTCTGCCTGCCTCTCTGGCTACTTGTGATCTCTCTCTGTCAAATAAATAAATAAATAAAATCTTTAAAAAAAATGGAGGTATAAAAGGACTAGCCCTATATGGGGAAGTTTAAATGAGAAATTGCCTGCAAAGTACTTAACATAGTGGGTGGGACATAGTACGAGCTCAACAAGCATCTATAATATTGCCATTATTAAAGTTTAATGATAAGAATACTAAATTGTACTCGGACTTTGTAGATATTAATTCTGCTTCTGCCCTGACATTTCTTACCTATGGGACTTTGGGCAAAATCCCTCCTCTTCCGATCAAAGATTTATAAAGTGGAGAAATGACTAAAAGTTGTAATGACGTATTTTCATAAAAATCACTTGATCTGGTTATAGAAATAGAGGCTTCCAGGCCCTGTTTGAACTTTTCTTTTTTAAAAATGATTTTATTTATTTATTTATTTATTTATTTATTTATTTATTTCGAGAGTGTGTACGTGAGAGCATGAGGCAAAGCAGGTGGGTGGGAGGGGTGGGTAGAGGGAGAGAATCTCAAGGAAACTCCCCACTGAGTGTGGAGCCCTAGGCGGGGCTCAACCTCATCACCCTGAGATCATGACCTGAGCTGAAACTAAGAGTGGGATGCTTAACAAACAGCCACCCAGGCACCCCAGGTCCTATTTGATCTTACAGAATGAAATTTTTGAGTGATTGTCCAAAGAATCTGTATTTTTTTGTTGTTGTTGAAATTGTGATTTTTTTTTTTTTTTTTAGTGGAGAAATCCTCTTTTTTTGTTGAACTATAGTTGACCTGGAGTGTTACATTAGTTTCAGGCGTACAACATAGTGATTCACCAAATGTATACGTTCTGCTGTGATCACCACACATGTAGCTCCCATGTAATAACCCAGATGGCTGCAGTAAGTTTGGGAATCACTACAGCAGATGTTCATTAACTTCCTTTTAAATTCAAAAGCCTTGTCTCTTCTTTCCCCTTGAATAGAGAGTGCAGTTGAGGTATTTCCAGGTGTTCTCCCGCAAGTGCGGGCCAGCACGAGAGAAAGATGACACCCATGCAATTCTGTCATCAAAGCACCCTTGGGCTTACACGTGAGAAGTGCTGTTGGCACTAGGTGTTCCGCAGTCATGGCCAGATAAGATTCAACAGCTCATACCAGAATTCAACCCGAGACTTTTATTATCAGTATTTTAAACCACTGAGCTAATTAATCACAACTTAATATCACATACATAATCCTAAAGATGGAGGGAAAGAACCAAGACTCTATTTATGGACTTTTTTCTCTTTCAGCAATTTAGAAAGATGTAGCAGGAGAAATAAGTCACAAAAAAGAGAAAGAGTTTGTCCTTATGAGTCAGAATTTGGGCCAAGTCTTTAAAGCTGGTTGAGTATAAAGGGCAGAAGAGCACTTTGGGGCTCAAAGAACAAACAACAAATGTAGTGTCTTCCCCAGCTGGCTGGGACAAAGGCTTTGGGGAGGGTCTGCATGTGCTGAATCCTGAACACCAAAGTGAGAGGAAAGTTTCTGACCCAACTTCTCTATTGCAAAGCTAGAGATGACCTGGTCATTCTCATAGTAAATTCGTGACTCAGCCAGGACTATCACATGAATCTCCAGATCCTTAAACTATCTCCTCTAACTTCTCCCCAAACTGCCAAGAAATATTACCCATCATGGCCCATGTCCTTATATCACTTCAGAAGTTTCTGCTGCGCCCTGAGAAGTGAACAGGTGTAATCAATAAAACTACCACGCCATGACTTACTTGTTCAGGCAACCAAGAACCGAGAAAAGGTATCATTCCCAGATTGGGGCGGGGTGGGGGAGCAGATGTCGTAATTTTGCAAATCCTGCTTTTTGCACATTCAAAGACTACATTGTTTAGATTTTGTGCCTTTTTTTTTTTCAGGTGTCTCCAGTCAAGGAGTACAGGTCAGTGTATATTTTTTTATCTATTCTTCAGACCCGGGTGGCATTTGGCACAGAAGTTTGTCTATGGGTGAAAGAGCAAAAACAATGAACAAGGGGCCCAAATGCAGAAATCAGAAATAATTCATTTTCTTAACTACAATATCTACTTGAATATACTGTTTTCAGTTTTAAAGAGCCTAAATGCCCATTCTCAGATTTTGTTAAAGTGAAATGAGTATAAACAAAAATCAGGCAAATCTATGATAGTGCTAATGCTGGGTCACTGATTTCACTGTGTGATCTTGGGGGAGTTACTAAGCTTTTCTGAGCCTTCATTTCCACAACTATAGAAAAGGAATAATATTATTCACCTCACAGAATTAGATTTAAGTTATATAAACTATGTAGGAGCATTTGGTAACTATAGGAGGATGACTTAGTGATCAATCATGAGCAGCTTCTACAGGAGATAGTAAGCCAGAGGCTCTTACTTCTTGCTTAGAGAGCAAGCCTGTTCAGTGTCTTGGGCTGAGTATATACAAACAGGTTCACTCAAGCTTAAATACACTTGGGCTTGAAAATTGGAAAAAGCACAAGTTATCTTCTTTATTTAGCTGATTCTTTTTTTCCAAGTTAATCCACTACCTTTTCTCCAGTTTTCTCATTCTACTAAAAGACAACACAAATAAGTGGGGTTTGTTCTGCCAGTCTTGCCCCTGTGTCTATACCGAACGTGTTCACTTGACTTTGGCCTTGGTTCTTGGTTAACCTCATTGTGCTAAGGAACTCTTGGCATCAAAATTTCCCAGACACTACCGCCAACTAATTGGAGGTGGCAAAGGAGCTGAAAAATATTTTCCAGCCATAGTATACAGACTACTTGCATAAGACTTTTTTTTTTCAAATTTTAACATCTTGGAAATTGAAATGCATCTCCCAATGAATGATACCTTAGAATTAACTATCAGTGTTTTGTGTGCATGTGCACACGTGGGCACACACGTGCACTTGTGTCCTAGTACATACACACGTGTTTGTATTGCTATATGTAATTATACATATTAAAATTGATTTATTCTTATGTTTAAATGTATATGGTAGCCTAGTCTATGTTATATATCAAAACAAACAGAGAAAGGGCATAAAATCCAAACAAATATTCCATATTCCACTAAGTAGTAAAATATGATAAGGCCATTACACAGAGATTTAAAACAAATGGAATTTAACCCCAGTTTTCTCATTAACACACAAGTTCCTTTTCTTCCTTCAGCTTGGGATTTCAGATTGGACTTTTAGTGTTTCCTAGGGTTCATTGACTATCTGCTATTTACTGGTTCTGCTCCTCTAGATGGACCCAAGTCGTAGAGTCTGCTTGCCTGAGGATCCTGTGGGCTGCTTCCTCAATATGCAGAGCCCCAGGCACCATGCCAGGCTTACTGAGTAATAATCACGCAGCTGGGGAGTTTTGAATCTACATTCTAGGTAATTCTCTGATGCTGGGAAGCACTGACTTTGGAATGCTCCAACACCCAGGAGATAGTACAGATGAGTCCTTGTTTGAATCTTTGCTGGCTGTGTGTTCCGATGGGTGTCTCTTCCTTTCTCCTTGCCTCTGTTTCCACATTTCTAAAATGAAAATATGGATTCAAGGATCTCCAGAGCCCCTTTCTGGCTTTAGGTATCTAGATTCTTATGAACCAAGCCTTCCTGGCCAAGACTGCTGTCTCTTTTGCACTCAAATATCAAGGGCCAGGAGGATGCCTCCCATCTTTCAGATGGCACAAAGCCTATGTTTCTCTTCTGTGTGTCTGGAAGGCTGATGGTAGTCCCAACAAGAGGCAGAAGTTGCAACTATCCTTGGAAACATGCCTGCTCAAGTCTGATCCAGCCAGTACAAAAGAGAGAGAGTTTTCTCTAACACCAAAGTCAATACTCTCGTGCCAGGAAGTCTCTCCATGATGGAACAGCTGAGGGGAAACTAGAGTGAGCAGTTTAAATTATTGATTTGTAAAAGCTTCACATTCTTTCAAAAAGAGGGTTCAAACTAAATAAAAAGCATGTTCCTGGACTTTAGGGATTCATAGTCCTGTAAAATTTTCCCTGTAAATGTAAGTGACTAATAAGCTGCCAACTCTCAAATTTGCCAAGTTGGAACATTAAGTAACATAAAAATTAAGATATAATAACAATAATTAAAAAGGAAACTATTATTTACCATCATCACTCTTTATTAAAGAAATTATAGTATAATACCAAAATGCTTGAAAGACATCATCTCCAAACAAGGATAGTTTTTTGGTCAGAATACTCACTACTTTGTCTTTCTTTTTCTTATTTCCCTATCAGGCTGGGTATTTGGAAACCATACCCTTAAGGAGCTGTTTAAACTAATATTCCAGTTTGGAATTAATATGACAAACTGCTCAAAAATGAATAATTGTCAGTGGTTTTCTTTTACAATAATTTTAAGATATCTAAGTTTATTTTTATTAATATTTTAAGATAAAGGCATGTAGATTATAGTATAGTTAGTAAAATAATGCTCCATGGCTAAAACGTGTTTGGGGCTCTTCATTTTTCCTAATTAACTTGTGTTAACTTATAATCAAGATACTGACAGGTTAACTAAATACAACTTGGCCATGTTAACCAACATCTACACTTTAACTACAAGTAGGAAAACTCAAGCTTCAGAAAGAGGACCTACCTCACTCAAGCTTTACAGCAGTAAAACTATGTAGTCACCACCTCAGGACGCTTGACTCCGTGTTGAGTGACCATATGTGGCTCCATGCGTCTTCTTTTCTTTTTTTAAAAATATTGGGGGGGTGTGGGCAGAAGGACAGTGAATCTTTTTCTTTTTTTTTCATTATTTTATTAACATATAATGTATTATTTGACCCAGGGGTACAGGTCTGTGAGTCATCAGGCTTACACATTTCACAACACTCACCATAGCACATACCCTCCCCAATGTCCATAACCCGATCACCCTATCCCTACTCTCCCACCCCACAGCAATCCTCAGTTTGTTTTGTGAGATTAAGAGTCCCTTATGGTTTATCTCCCTCTGGATCCCATCTTGTTTCATTTTTCCCTTCCCTACCCCCCCCAGAACCCCCCCGCCCTGTCTCTTAAATTTCTCTTATCAGAGAGATCATATGATAATTGTCTTTCTCTGATTGACTTACTTCGCTCAGCATAATACCCTCTAGTTCCAACCACGTTGTTGCAAACGGCAAGATTTTATTTCTTTGGTGGCTGTGTGTATATCTATCTATCTCTCTATATATATTCTATATATATGGTATATATACCACATCTTCTTTATCCATTCATCTGTTGATGGACATCTAGGTTCTTTCCATAGTTTGGCTATTGTGGACATTGCTGCTGTAAACATTCGGGTGCGCGTGCTCCTTTGGATCACTACGTTTGTATCTTTAGTGTAAATACCCAGTAGTGCGATTGCTGGGTCGTAGGGTAGTTCTATTTCCAACTTTTTGAGGAACCTCCATGCTGTTTTCCAGAGTGGCTGCACCAGCTTGCATTCCCACCAACAATGTAGGAGGGTTCTCCTTTCTCAGCACCCTTTCCAGCATCTGTCGTTTCCTGACTTGTAATTTTAGCCATTTTGACTGGTGTGAGGTGGTATCTCATTGTGGTTTTGATTTGTATTTCCCAGATGCTGAATGATGTTGAGCACTTTTCATGTGTTTGTTGGCTATCTGGATGTCTTCTTTGCTGGAATGACTGTTTATGTCTTCTGCCCCTTTCATGATTAGGGTCTTTGTTCATTGGGTATTGAGTTTGATAAGTTCTTTATAGATTTTGGATACTAGCCCTTTATCTGATAAGACATTTGCATATATCTTCTCCCATTCTTTGGGTTGTCTTTTGGTCTTGTTGACTGTTTCCTTTGTTGCACAAAGGCTTTTAATCTTGCTGAAGTCCCAATAGTTCATTTTTGCCCTTGCTACCCTTGCCCTTGGCGATGTTTCTAGGAAGAAGTTGCAGCAGCTGAGATGGAAGAGGTTGCTGCCTGTGTTCTCCTCAAGGATTTTGATGGACTCTTGTCTCACATTGAGGCTCTTCATCCATTTTGAGTCTATTTTTGTGTGTGGTGTAAGGAAATGGTCCAGTTTCATTCTTCTGCATGTGGCTGCCCACTTTTCCCAACATCATTTGTTGAAGAGACTGTCTTTTTTCCATTGGACATTCTTTCCTGCTTTGTCGAAGATTAGTTGACCATACAGTTGAGGATCTATTTCTGTGCTCTCTGTTCTGTTCCATTGATCTACGTGTCTTTTTGTGTGTGTGTGCCAGTACCATACTGTCTTGATGATCACAGCTTTGTAATAGAGATTGAAGTCTGGAGTTGTGATGCCACCAATTTTGGTTTTCTTTTTCAACATTCCTCTGGCTATTTGAGGTCTTTTCTGGTTCCATATAAATTTTAGGATTATTTGTTCCATTTCTTTGGGAAAAAATTCATGGTATTTTGATAGGGATTGCATTAAATATGTAGATTGCTTTAGGTAGCATAGACATTTTCACAATATTTGTTCTTCCAATCCATGAGCATGGAATGTTTTTCGATTTCTTAGTGTCTTCTTCAATTTCTTTCATGAGTACTTTATGGTTTTCTGAGTACAGATTCTTTGCCTCTATGGTTAGGTTTATTCCTAGGTATCTTATGGTTTTGGGTGCAATTGTAAATGGGATTGACTCCTTAATTTCTTTTTCTTCTATATTGCTGTTGATGTATAGAAATGCAACTGATTTCTGTGCATTGATTTTTTTTTAAAGATTTTATTTATTCGACAGAGAGAGAGAAATCACAAATAGGCAGAGAGGCAGGCAGAGAGAGAGAGGGGAGGAAGCAGGCTCCCTGTGGAGCAGAGAGCCCGACGCGGGGCTGGATCCCAGGACCCTGGGACCAAGACCCGAGCCGAAGGCAGAGGCTTTAACCTACTGAGCCACCCAGGTGCCCCTGTGCATTGATTTTTATATCCTGA